TTTATAAGGGCACCTTCCTCGGGGAAACCGCTATGCAGCGCCTGCCCAGGGTCGCGGAATTCTATCCTGCCAGGAGTATTGATCCTAGTCGTCTTGGGGGATTTATCGTGCCAACTGCCTTTAATAAAGCCCTTAAGAATCGAATCGACGAGGCGTGCCAGTGTGAGTGGATTTTGACGCGACCCCAGATCGTTTTCCAGCAATTGTTGCCAGATGAGGCAAGGAATGGCTGGTTAAAAGTGACCTGGAGCCGCTCCAAAGTCCAAGTCCTACTGACACGCCCCGTCGATCCGGCTGGGAACTCTTGCCATGGCATTTCAAGATGGTAGTAAAAGTGTCGAAAAAATGGGGTCACGTGGTCCTTGTTGCTCCCTTGTTTGAATAATCAAGCAAACGAACTAATCAATTTCTATACTTACTATGCGATCCTCCTCTCCAACATCGATGGCTGTAACACCAGCGAACATCTTTTTGAGATGCTTTTGCAGACGTGTGATATCCTTGCTATTACCCATAATCTCAAGCAGATCTTCATCTCCCACAAAGTAAAATCTACAATGATTCCTTTTTCTCTCCAACTTCTTCATAAAACATCATAAGCTCAGCAATACCTACCTTGGGAATGATGCTCTTTCCCTTTCCAGATACTCTCCCAGTGCTTTCTGGATCTTTGACAACATATCCGCAAGTCTGTCAAGAAGACGTTGAGCTCCTTGCATACCGACCACATCAAGGATACGCGGCGATTGCGTGACTTTCTTCATCAGTGCCAAGAATTCCGTGGAGATACTGCAAAGGATTATCTCAATTTGAAGCTCTTTGATTCATATTTAAAGGCGCACTCCGCGTTCGTTTGATGTTCAGACGCTTTCTTTGGACATGGTAGTCCAGTGCGCGAGCGTAGAAGATTTACAGCTTTTGCACTCAAAAAACACATGCGTAACGCGCGACCATGACAACGCACCAAACTTTCAGTGTCTAACAGGTTTCTTGGAGCGGGATCGAAACGTCGGGGCATGCTTTTCAAGCACGTGCGCGAGCTTCATAAATGAATGACCAACCTCGAGAAACGAGCGCTTTCAATAGGCAGTAAGGTGGCAATATCGGCCGATCCAGAGAATAAACCTTCTAGGTAGACCCATCGACGTTGCACATCAATCCAGACATCGAACATAGCACTGATACGATTCAGTTTCTCTTCCCATGACAGGGCATTCTAAAAATAAAGTTAAAAAACGTTTTTGGATATATCTGAAAAACTCGTGGTTAAATAGTCATTATCACCGGTCGGCCGGGGTGGGTCAGCTACGTGTGGGTTTTGACGCGGCGCCAAGCTGCTTTCCCACCACTTATGAATCTCCCAAGATGCAGCAATCGGTGGAAAACAGGTTGGCGCCTCAAAACCTACACGCCGCCGGCACGCCCCGGCTGGCATCAGTGATAACGGCTATGCGCACATTCCGCGATATCTACCTGGGCGGAGACGATGCACCATTCCGCCCTAATCATTGCTGTAAAGAGAAGGCGCCAACAAGACGATTTTCTCACTCCACCCACTCGATCATCGCGGAACGCACTTTTGACAAACAGGAATTTGACAAATGTGGAATACCTCTTCGAACTGCTTGTAGTATGGCGACAGCTTCATCGCAGCCAAAGAATTCTGATGTTCCTTCAGTTTATTGAACAACTCATCCCAACCTTTGATGAGTCTAGTCTTATTCTGATAGTTAACCAGTTCGACGTCATATGATTGCCAGAAGTCTTTCATCTGAACAGTTCCTTATATAACCCGGGGAAAAACGAATTAATGAAGGGAAAACTTGGATTATAGCCAACAAACCTGTTTCAAGAACTCTTCCAAAGCAAGTTCTCCCTGAGCTACGAGCAAAATCTGCTTGATGGCATGTTCATGACGTTGTAAGTCAGCATCCCAGACCTACAAGTGAAAATCTTCAGAAACTTACAAGTAGAGCCGCAATAATCAGCTAAAGCACATGAACAAGTGCAGCCAGGTTATCGTACCTGTCCAAGCGTCAAATCAGACAAATTCCAAGTAACTCGTAGTTCCTTCATCATCTGACGCCAATGGCGTTCTTTTAGCGCCTCAGATTTCAGCTCCATAACTAGCATGTTCATCTTCGAGTAGTTGTGCATCATCTGCTTGGCGTACTCGTAGCTCTTTGTAACTCTTGTATTTCACCGGCAAGTGTTTCAACTGATTCATGAGCTCATCAAGAGACTGACGCAACTTGCGTGGTTGGACCGACAGCCAGGTCTTCTCCTAAAATATAATCTTTTCGAAAATGAACACTGACAAATAGCGGTAAGCAGGCACGACTCGCCAAGGACGGTGGGAAATGTTGCAAAATACCACCTCTCCCGAAATTTCCCACTCTCACGTTAGGAGGTGCATATGGCGCACGTGAAACTGGTAAATGAACTGGCAAATACGACTCCTCCCTCCTTGACTGAATACTACCCCTCGGTGGGGATCCCTAAACGTACGACGCGCCCTGGCTGTAAAAGAAGTCACACCCACACTGTGTTGTTGTCTCGTCTTCTCCAAGGCACAGCCTGATGGGAGGAAGGGGTCATCATCTCATCAGGTGAGAAAGTTGACGAGTAGCCGCGCCACAGCTTGCCCCCCCCCTCCTCCCCTGGAGTACTTTAACGCCACTCTACCTTAGCACTCATTTTTATTCAGGATCTACAACTATTCTGTACCCGTGGTCATTCTTCGCATCTTTGCCCCTCTTCCCTCGACCCTCCTCGAGAAATCATCTGGTTTAGCTAGGACAGACTTTGAAATGAATATGTTTAGACCTAGCTCGGCTGACTCTTGGAACCCTACTCCATTAGACCCTACTACAAAGAGAAGAACAACGGTGTCCCAGCTGAAATTAGGACATGTCCTATCGCTGGCGAAGATATTTGCAGTATGCACAATATGCGACCCCCTCCCCTCCTCCCCACCGAATTTCCTCCTTCGGTGGAGCCAATTCCCCATCATATCTCTAAAGTGAGTGACTTTTCAGCAACCACTTTTTTTCAGTTGTTCAAAAAATTTTCTACGCTAACTAGGGGGAGGAAGGACTTCTCTCGGACCAAATATGACCCGCTCCCTCCAGCGACCGAATGCGACCCCTTTGGGAGTTCCCAGCGTGTGACGTGCCCTGATTAAAATTCAGCGCATACCTTCATCTCGTCAATCGACGTGTAGATTGGTGTCAATGCTTGCCAGACACCCTTCAAGTCAGCCAGCTCTTCTGCTGCAACGGCTAATTTATCAGCGTCAACAGGAACTCCAGCAGGATCGGCCATATCGAGTGCATGGCGAGCTCTGCGCATTTTCTCTCGATCCTACAATGGTATGGTGAGATAAAGTTTCATAAAGAAAATAAAAGAGCTTTCTGACTTCCGACAGCTTGGCGATCTTCTGCTCAAACGTGTTGAGAGCTGCAAGGGCTTCATTTGGCCTTTGGGCTCCTTCAACTGGCTTCGCACGTTCCCATTCGGATAACGTCTCTTGTGTACGTTTCTCCACCATTTCATTTTCTTCACGGATTTTCGTTTGTAGGTTATTCACCTGGAAAAGAACTTTTGCTAATCAAAAAAAAACAGCGAATGATTACAGCGGTGACCACTGAATAGCAGTCTTCCAAAGAACATTCTATGGAAGTGCCTGAGGATCAAAGAAGAATAAACAAGTCTATAACTTCAGGCGTTCATGCTTAGCGATCCGAACGCGCAATCCAAACGCTATAGCGTTCCAAACTATCGGATCGCGAAGCGTGAACGCGCTATAAAAAGGCGACAAACGGCGTCGCAAAATCGGATTTCAGAAAGGACGAGCTTACACTCATCGGGAGCTAATGGAGGTAATTGACAAAAAGATTAAAGGAAAATGACACGATAACGCGGCGTCACCTGTGGGGCATTCGAGCCAGGAATTAATCGTTAGCGCGAAATTGCAAGAGTACGCCCTGTCAGCTCATTAGGGGATGCTGTCTAGTTTTTGGACGTCCTGCCGTCAAGGTAAACTCTCGGGAAGTACGATCCGCTAAAATCCTCTTCTGGCAAGACCCTCTTTCCCTCCCATTTCGTACTCGTACAGAAGCTTTTTTCCAAAGTTCTGCCAGTTTTCCCTCAAAAGCTGCTGCCGAACGTCACTGGATCTCCCAACCGACACCTTTCAAGATCCCGAAATCACCAGAACATTAAAAAAATTCAAAACTTTACCTGAGACTGTATCGAAGAATCTTTACGCAGCAGAATCTCTGTCAGTGCTGACCATTCACCCTCAACATTCTCGGCATATAACCACTGAGCAGGGAACTGGTAGCGCTGTTGCGATAGCAAGCGCTGCGCGGCTCGGAATTGGTCCACCTGAAAACGTACGAAGGATCTTTCCCAAATAGTGACGGCCAGGCCCGGTAGTGCATGCTCACCGTCTCCTGTCCAACTTTTGTCTGCTTCTTCAATGTCTGTACGTAGGTAATCAGGGCCACAGCATCAGGTTGTCGTACCAGAATCAACACCTTGCGATTCTAACTCCTCGCGCCATTTAGAGATATTTCCAAAGAACTGCTGCATTTCGTTGCCTAGAAAAGTGATAAATAATGGCACATTCCACGATGACCACATAGGCGGAGAAATGCAACTGTTATGCCTCCCTTAGTGAGAAAACTGATTCACGCTGTGGCTGTCTTCTTGTATGGATCGAATGTGAATTCAAACTCATTTGAAGTTCGGTCCACGCCGGTAATGTGGGCGGAGACAGTCAGCTATTGAGCCTTCCTCGTTGACACGCTCCTCCTTCCAGTGAGACGAGAAGCAAAGGCGCGTCAATAAGGTGAGCTCAGTGCCGTCGAGTGACTGAGCTTCGAATGAATTTGAATGCACATTCGAAACAGTCATTAAGGGCAACCAATGCACACATCAGTGTTCTCACTGAAGTGGACATACCAGTTGCGTGTCTCCGCCCATCTGGTCATCTCGGAATGTGTCTTTGGCAGAATATCAAAGCAGCATAGCTATAAGCTAGCAAAGGTGGGACTTACCAACAGCGGTACCGAACTTTTGAAGAACCTCCTTATGCCAGTAATCGTATTTCAAAGTCACTTTCAGCTGCACTTTGGCATAGTCGACTATCACGGGGAAAATTTCCTTCTTTGTATCCTGAAAGCATTTGCCCCTCAGTACATAAGCCAAGGATAATAAAATTAGTTTGCTCGGCCAGGTAGCACTCTTCAAGGCCTGTACGGCATACTGTACTTTACTATTTGAGCATCTGCCAATTAATCAACACAAATTTGACCTATTTTATAGTTCATTCATATCTCTAGCCATGAAACCCTCATTGAAGACATACCTGAGTGTCAAATGTGCTGCGACTTTTCCTGATTTCTACAAGGGTCTTCATCCATTTTGACAAATCCGTGCCAAGTCTTTCATACAGCATCTCAGCTTGAAGATCCCAAAGCGCTTGGTAACGAAGCCATTCATTAACGTACTCGTCTACCTGCACAAATACTGCTGCATAGTTATTGAGCCTGGGTGGAATAGATATAGTTCGGCCGGACCTACCTCTCTCAGAATACGGTCCACTGTAGTGTAGGCCTTTTCCAGTACTCCTAGTCCATTTGGTAGGCGGCTGAGAATGTTCTTGTATGTGGCAACGTTCAAATCGCGATTCATTGCCAGCTAAAGGAAAGGAAGAATCAAAAGACTACCACATTTTCACATGTTCTCGACCTGATTCCTACACACATTGAACGCCCTCGCATGATTTCTTCCTTCGAAAGATTTCAATTAGAGCACGCGCCGTACATCGAGGATCCCCAGCGGCGGGGGAGGGGGAGGGGGTGGATTGCTTTGGCCGGTGGAGGGAGGGAGGTGTAACTTGCTTTTGAGCAAAAATGTTTTTGATTGCTGACTCATTTCGGTTTTTCCCTGTTCCAAGGGCACCTTTACCACCCCCTGGAGGCGGCTTTCTGAGAAAAAAAAGGGGAGAGTTTTTTGGGAAAACCTCGGAGGATGGTAGGAAGTCGGCAAATTTCAGGAAGACGGTAGGTATGATGGGAGATGGAGTCGTATCAGAGAAAAAAACTTCCTAAGGGAGGTCGTATTTTTTCGAAAAGCCTCTTTAACGGCAGGAAGTGCCTCGATTTCGATGCACGTTTTCTAGACCAATTTTCTCGAGGGCATTCGTGCGTTCAAGTGATTAGAACAACCCAAACTAACCTGGAAACGAGTACTGCTGATTCGGGGCTGACTAGTAACAACTGCGTGCCACTCCACTAACTGTTCGAGCAATTTCGCTCTTGCTTGTTCTATCGATGGACTTATGTAGATGGTTTGGGCAGTAAGACGGATCTTAATGGAAATTACGTTATATTATAGTTTGACGCCGGACCTATGAAATGGATCAGGGTTTTACCCTCGAGATCATACCTCAATTAGGACCGGATGAACTGGCGGAAGAGCAACATTGCTCTCCTTGTATTCGTCGACCTCTTCACTCGCTGAATATACCAATGTCCATAGACGTATGGCTTCTTCAACACGGGCAGCCAATTTTGCTTCAATCTATAAAGAAAAAAAAACACTGAACTATGCGAATTCTATGGGAAAAATATTTATTCATAACTTTATTTACAGCACGTCTGCAGAGATGGAGAACCCGCAAGAAAGACTAGACGCGAATCCACCGAGCTTATGTGGATGACCGGGAACTCGATTCGCGCCCAGTCATTTTCACAGATCTGCCGGTTCCCAAATTCCTCCAGACCTGCGATACTCCAGGATGCGGTCAGATGGTGTGGCTGGCATTAGGATACGGCCGTACTAGCTGCAATAACGACCCCACCGTATTTTCGCAGGGTATGTGGCAATACAATCATAACTCTCCGTGATGGTGGGGCATGGCTCGTGATGTCACCGACCGCGTGCGGCAAGTGGACAGTCCGCAGGCGCATGTGTGATGATCTAAAGCCAATTCTTTCTTTCCAGTAGAAGGTCTACCTAAGCCCGAGAGATTGTAAATTGGGGATGTCGGCTTTCTTTTTGCTGTGGAACATCTTACTCGAACTGCCGGGCCCACTGCCGCAGGATGTGCCGCACTCGACGGCGCGCAAAGGATTGTCTTGACGGCCTTACGTCTCTGCATTGCCTCGCCCGCAACACCCAAACACCCAGCTATTAAATTGCAGAATCGATGGTTATAAACCGCTTGCTCGATTTGTCGGTTCGTGAGACCTCGGCCTCTTCATACGGATCGAGAGGCTCACAAGCCGTCACACGAAGTGAGTTATAAGGAAGTGATTCTGCAATAATTGTAAATTCGAGTGGTATGGTCGAGTTGCCCAGAGTAAAATACGCAATGCAGAGAAAGGAGGCGGTCAAGACAATCGCAAATTGCGGCGCCGTCAGGTGTGTCAGGCGCATCCTGCGGCAATGGGCGTAGCAGCTAAATAAAGATGTCCCACATCAAAAAGCGGGCTGACATTCCTAACTTATCATCATTCGTGCTCAGTCATTTATTCTACTAGAGAATGTATTGGTATCAGAACCTCATCCATACGGCTGTGGACAATCCACTTGCCGCTGTCGATGGACGACATCGCAGGGCACGCCTATGAGCGCAGCGATTACACTTTTCTTTTCAGACGCCTGGCAGAGACACGGTGGGAGTGGCAGTTACGAGCAACGCCCCCCT